ATCAGTGACACTGATCAAGATGTGTAGATCCCATAAATGATATGATAAATTGAATTCTTCTGTGCAACTATTTAAAGAGAACACAATTTTTGAAAAGGGGAAAGAAAGAAATTATCAAAGAAAGTGATTCAAGTGGTGAGCTTTATCTGACCCTGTGACTGAACTTTTTTTTGCTCAAGGCTGGCACTCCATCACATGAGCCATAGCTGCACTTCCAGCTTTTTTTTTTTTAAATTTTGTGAACATACTGTACAATTACATGGGCAAGATAATGAGTACATTTCTTATCAAGCATTGCAGCCTCCTCCTTTGTTTACCCTTCACATTCCTTCCTAGCCTCCCCCCCCCCCCCCCCAATTCCCCCCCCCCAGCACCCCCCCTACCAAAGTTGCAAAGTTCGTTTTCGACATGACAACCATGGTTTCCCTTATTTGCAATATCTAGTATATGTATGAGTCAAGCAGAAAAGGTCAGATAATGTGATGTCAGGAAAATGAACCATGTATTTGTTTCTAATGCATGTATAAGATTATCTCTTTGTTGCTTTGTATGTCCCTCCCCCACAGTATAACCCCTGCTTTCACTATATTTGATGTTGGTATAATTTGTGGAGGAGATGGGGAAAAACTTCCAGCTTTTTAGGCATTTAATTGGAGATAAGAATCTTACTGACTTTCTCAAGCACATAAGGGATTCCATTTCTAGAACTTTATGTATATATTTTTGTTCTGTGTTAGAAGCCAACTTCTTTCTCTCCTCTTGTGGGAAGCATAAAGCTTCTCAGACTCTAACTCCCTCCATTGCCATATGCTTAGTGGATGCGTTCAGTATTAGAGGGACCTTGGATCTGTTTCAGCATGTTCTCTTAGTGTGCACATAAGCCTTGCACATGCTTATTCCTGTACTGCTTACCACATCTGAGTAATGGGAGTAATCTGAGTAATGGGAACAGTGTAGATGCTCTTCAGTGGACACTGGACAAAGAAATGTGGTTTGCATATGCGGTGGAATAATACTTATCCATGAAGAAGAATGGACCTGCAAAAAGTTATGTGAAGTGAACGAAGTCAACCCAGAGAGAAGAAGGTTGTATACTTTCTCTCATAGGTGGAAGTGAGTTCCACTTTATAAATATACATGTAAAGATATTCAGGGTCATAGGCACATATGGACAAATGTATTGACTAAAAGATGGAATACATAGGAGAGGATTCTAATGGTGTAGTTCCCTCGAACAATGAACTTACTGTCTATGAAAATGAATATCAGGAAGCTGGAACTTGAAGTGTTGGGGACGGGGATGAAACCAAGAAGAGGAGGGGAAATGGATGAAAAAACAAGGGTGGTAGAGAATGTAATCAAAATATTTAATGAATATAGATGAAAATGAAACTAGGAAAATTAAAGGGATGGGTAGAATTGGGAGAGATGAGGGAAAATGATGAAAGGGGCAACATTAATCAAGATTTTTGTACCCCTAAAGTGAATTATTGTACCCGTTTGTACCTCGACATAAAGGCAATATGAATATTCAAAAAAAGAGTGTGGCAAAAATAAATTTTCAAAGAAGTGGGCTAAAAACGTTAAGACTTCACAGAAGAATTAAGAATGGCCAATAGACATATGAAATAATGTTCAACATCTCTGGCCTGAAAAGAAATGCAAATCTAAACAGCATTGAGATTCCATTCATCTCAATTAGATGACCATTATCAAGAAAACTAAAAATTATAGATGCTGGCAGGGATGTGGCCAAAGGGGAAATTTCCTACACTGTTGGTGGGAATGTAAACTTGCTCAAATATTCTGGAAAACTATGGAGATTCCTCAAAAAGCTAAACAGAGAGTTTCCCTGTGATTCAGCCATCCCACTCCTAGGCATTTATCCAACTGACCACAAACAACACCCCACTAAATCCACAAGTACAACCATGTTCATTGCAGCATCATTTACCTATCCAAGATATGAAATCAACCCAGCTACCACAGAGTAGACGAATGGCTCAAGAAAATGTGGTACATATACACAATGCAATTCTATGCTTCCAACAGAAAGAATGATATTGTACAATTCATAAGGAAATATAAAGACTTGGAAAAATTATATTAAGCAAAGTAAGCCAGACACCAAGAAAAACAGATTTTGTGGTTTCCCTCATTTGTTGTAACTAGAGTGTATCTATAAATCTACAAAAGACAAATGACAAAAAATAGACTTAGACATGATAAATTATTCATAACTCTAAACATTCACACAGTGAGACCAAAGAATAGTCTTAATGGAGGATCACAACAGCTCTACAGCTGTATGCATATGATCATATAAAACAATATTTATCCAAATGAACTACAAAAATGTAAACAAGATATTTTTTGTTATTTTGGTTTTTCTCTCCTGTGTTGTTGTTTTGTTTTTTGTCTTATATGTAAGTTTACCTGTTTGGGGAAGGTAAGGGTGGGCATAGAAATGGAAAGACAAAGGCTGAACAAATGGAGCACTGATACTCACTAGAAACTAATTTGAAAATGAACCATACAACTTGTTGGGGGGGGGGATGGAGGGAAAAACTGGGACAAAGCAAGGGAAGGGGTGACACTGTTCAAAAGGATATATATTCATTACCTGACACGTAACTGTAGCCCCTCTGTATATCACCTTTACAATAAAAATAAAACTATGCATTTTAAGAAATGGTATACTTTTTAGAAATATTCTCCTTCTTATATGTAGTACACATACTTGAAATAGAAAACATTATGTTTATATTATATTTAAGAGTGATTTATTCATTGTTTACTTACTATTTTGGTTTGATTAACATATTTTCTTAATGTGGATTATATGCAAACCCAAATAAAACTAATCTACATTTATTCTTTAAAATAAGTGTGGGGTGGTCTCTGTGCTGATATCTAAGGTCAATTTTATGCTGAGGTCCTTGATTTAAAGCTTAAAATTAATCCTCAAAAAATATTCCACAGAGAATTCACAGAAGAATCAATTAAACCCAGAACATACAATATTTATTTGGAATGTAATTTTGAATGCCAATGAACTTGATATCCAGATTAAAAGACATTCTCAACACTTTACCCTTATTGTTTTGTAATTTCAGGGCTTGTAATGTCAAGATTTTTCTTTGAAATAACAGAATGGTGTTTGGTGGTGTGAAGGAAGTGTTAGATTAAATGTTTATATAAATAATAAAATAAAGTTTGAATAAATTACACTTTCAAGTTGAAATCATGATGTTTCTGAAGATGTATTGTGTGGATAATTAGAGAACAATTTGAATTTATTAAAAGTTACTCCAGTTTGTAAATACTATATAAGGTCTTTGTAAAGTAAATGGTTTCTGACCATACAATAAGTGAAAATGGTGGAAGTTCAAGTGTATGAATCTTCTGGATAAACAAAGAATCTTAAACCTATCATGGATTTTCTTTTGGGTCCTCTCAGCTCTCAGTTTGAAATGTCCACAGAGACTTGGTCCAATAATATGCACAATTTGGCTAATTGTGAGCTGTGGGCATTAATCCTCCAAAGTCATATAGAAGTCAAGGATGAGCCTGTTCTTCCTGCCCTTCACTCTACTGTCTCTAGGACTCTGGTCCTATGTCTCTCTCCTCATCACTGGCATCCACTAGCTCTGCTCCTATGGTGTCTTCATTTCCATCCTGAGGATAGAGGCTGAGCTTTCCCTGAGTTCCAGGTCTGGGGTCCTTGGATCTGTCCAACTGGGTCATGTCTGAAGAGAGAAGCAGCTCAAGCGAGTGAGTACTGATGGTAGATGGTGAAGGAAATGTCTTTTCTGGATCATGAGGACAGGTTAACTGAGAGGCGGCTGCTGCTGCTGCTGCTGTTGCTGCTGCTGCTGCTGCTGCTGCTGCTGCTCAGTTAGAGGGGTACCACACAACAATGAGCCACTGTTGACAGATTGCCCTGTATCCGTCTTTGAGCTCAGTTTTATAGGTCATTCTTTCTCATTTCATATACTTCACCTTCCTCCATGTATTTGTGTGTGTGTGTGTGTGTGTGTGTGTGTGTGTGTGTGTGTGTCTGTGTGTGTGTATACTTGCATGCACACGTGTGCTGGTGTCAGGGCTTGAACTCAGGGACTTGGAGCTGTTTTTGAAGTATTTAGCACTTAAATGTATAGCTCCACTTCCTCCTTTTTTTGGTGGTTCATTGGAGGTAAGAGTCTCATGCACATTCCTGCTCAGGCTCATGCCACTGGTGTCTGCAATGTATACTTTTAAAAAGTAGGGGCTTTTGCTTTCTGCTATTCATTTGATCAAACTGCAGCTTAGCTGATCAAGGAGCATCCTCTCCTACTTATACCACACTTTACTCAATTTGTGTATAGATGAAAATGACCCTGTATATGTATTCATATATGTTGATAAATGATCTATCTTCCATGTATGAAAGAACATGAGTGCCCTTTGTCTCTGAGCCTTACTTATTTCACTCAACACCACATTTCAATTTCTCTGCAAAATACATATTACCAGAATAGGCAAGTCCAGAGGGACCAGAGGTAGATTTGTGTCTGCCTTAGGTTGGAGTAAAGTAAGGAGTGACTGCTCATGGGTCAGGGTTTCTTTTCAGTGTGGTAAAAATCAGCTATGCTAATAGTTGCCTTATTGTGAATGTATTAAAAATGACAGAACTGTACACATTAGAATGACTCCTCAATGAAGATGTTCTAAAAGCAAGACAAGAGTGGGTTGAATTTTCATGTGATCATGCTCTAGATGACCTTTATGTTTTTGGCTTTCTAACAATGCTGTTCACCACTGAGACAGATATGTAGACAAAGAGTTGGGGAATAAGACATCTCTGAGTGAGAAGATATTAGAAGTGGGGGATTGCCCCACTTTGAGAAATATTTGAGAAATATTTCTAAGTACACTGGACCTTAAGTAACAACATTCAAACATATAAATACTTGAATTCCAAATAGACTCAGTTAAGCATTCCTGGATATGCATTTTATTTTTCTAATGAGATTTCTTCTTTTAGCAGTTGCCCAAGTCATACTGAAGCACAAAATCTATCCACAGTCTCAGAGTTCCATCTCCTGGGCCTCTCAGATGACCCTAAATTACAGCCAGTCCTCTTTGGGCTGTTTTTGTCCATGTACTTGATCGCCATGCTCGGAAATCTACTCATCATCCTGGTGGTCAGCTCTGATCGACACCTCCACACCCCCATGTACTTCTTCCTCTCCATCCTCTCCTTGGCTGACATTGGCTTCACTTCTACCACTGTTCCCATCATGCTGGTGGACATCCAGACACAAAGCACAGCCATCTCCTATGCAGGCTGCCTCACACAGATGTCTCTTTTCCTCTTTTTTGGTTGTATGGATGACATGCTTCTGACCATGATGGCCTACGACCGCTTTGTGGCCATCTGTCACCCCCTACACTACCCAGTCCGCATGAACCCTCGCTTCTGTCGGATCTTAGTATTGGTGTCTGTTTTCTTCAGTCTTTTGGACTCCCTGCTGCACAATTCAATCATCTTACAATTTGCCTGTTTTAAAAGTGTGGAAATCCCAAATTACTTCTGTGATGCTTCTCAAATATTTAAGCTCTCCTGTTCTGATACCTTTAGAAATAACTTGCTCATATATTTAATTAGTGTCATATTGGGATTTGTTCCTGTTTCAGGGATCCTTCTCTCTTACTACAAAATCATCTCTTCCATCCTGAAGATCCCATCGCAAAGTGGGAGGCACAAAGCCTTCTCCACGTGCGGCGCTCACCTATCGGTGGTTTGCTTTTTTTATGGAACATTGCTTGGTGCTTACTGTGGTTCCACTGTATTTCATTGTTCCAGGAAACTTGTGGTGGCCTCGGTGATGTACACGGTGGTCAGCCCCATGCTGAACCCCTTCATATATAGCCTGAGGAACAGGGACATCACCAGGAGCCTGAAGAGGCTGCACAGTAGGATCATCAAAACTCAGGGCTTGGAGTAGCTACTGAAGACCTGTAGGTATGACATTTAATGAAATGGAAGAACTAGGGATATCCTTGCTTCCTCTTTCATGTGAAAATTTTGAAGACTAATTAGTTAATCAATTTTCTATCGAATTTCCTATTTACATTGTGGTTGAGAGGTTTAGGATGTTGGAGACTGAGTATTTACAGACAGATGTAAAGTTTCAATTCTCAAGAATAAAAGGTTTTGCTGCAGATGGGTGCCCAAAAATCTCAATGCAATTAAAAAAACAGAGTGTGCTTTTTGAAAGGGTTACAATGGTACTTTAGACTACAGGAATTTCCCCACAAGGAACAATGATAGAAAAGGGAAGGCTTGAATGGAATGAATTTGACCTTTGAGTTTCTTCTTGAATATATGGAGAGTCCAAACAAAATCTGGGTATCTTCTCTGTTTTATTCTTCTTCTTGAAACACATACGGATATTCTGAGAGATTGGGGTATAAAACCTATTGGGGTAGTTATGAGGTCTCTGTCTTAACTCCAAGTTGCATCATAGTAGCTAGTAGGCCTTGTCCTGCTCCTTAATTTTTAATGCCTTCATTTCTTTTTTTATTGTGAAAATACTATACAGAGGGGTTACAATTACATGGGCAAGATAATGAGTACATTTCTTATCAAGCATTGTAGCCTCCTCCTTTGTTTCCC